TTTCTGTATAATTTTAAATTCTTCATTGTTGACTTCCTGAATTCATTTCCTAAAATTTTAAATCCTGACATTTCAAGTTCATTTTCTATAATTGTAAATCCTTGACATTTCAAGTTCATTTTCTATAATTTTAAATCCTTGACTTCTTGAATTCTTTGACTATCTAAATTCATTTTTCAAAAGTTAAAATTTTTCACATCCAAAATTCTATTTACTAGAATTGTAAATTGTTGACTTCTTTAATCTATTTTAATTGAATTTTAAATTGTTGACTTCCTGAATTCATTTCTCTAGAATTTTAAATTCTTGACTTCTTGAATACAAAGAACCCTTCTTGAATACAAATTCCTAAAACTTCAAATTTTTGACTTCTTGAATTCATTTTCTAGAATTTTAAATTGTTGATTTCCTAAATCCATTTTTCTGGAATTTTAAATTAACTTTTGAATCTTTTACTTTCTAAATTCATTTTTCAAAGGTTTAAAATTTTTGACATCCAAAATTCTATTTACTAGAATTTCAAATGGTTGACTTTGTAAGTTTATTTTTCTAGAATTTTAAATTCTCGACTTCTTAAATTCATTTCCTAGAATTTTAAATTCTTGACTTCTTAAACTTATTTCCTAGAATTTTAAATTCTTGAGTTCTTAAATTCATTCCCCTAAAATTTTAAATTCTTGACTTCTTTAATCCATTTTCAAGAATTTTAAATTTACACCATTCCTGAATTCAATTTGGTAAAATTCTAAATTGCAGACTTCTTAAATTCTTTTGCAATAATTTTAAATTCTTGACTTCTTAAATTCATTTTCTTAGAATTTCAAATTCTTGTCTTCCTAATTTCATTTTCTAGAATAATGAATTCCCACCCTTCTTGAATTCAATTTCCTAAAATTTTAAATATTTGGCATCTTAGATTAATTTTTTAAGAATCTTAAATTCTTGACTTCTTGAATTCATTTCCAAGAATTTTAAATATACACCGACCTTGTTTTCATTTTTCTGGAATTTAAAAATCCTGACTTCTTGAATTCCTTTTCCTACAATTTTAAATCGACACCATTTTTTAAATCATTTTCTTAGAATTCTAAATTGTTGACTTTTTAAATTCATTTCCTAGAGTTTTAGTTTCTTGATTATTAGATTTCCAAAAAATTTAAATTTAAACCATTTTTGAATCCATTTTCTAGAACATCAAATTGTTAACCTCTTAAAATCATATTTTTAGAATTTTACATTGACATCCTATTGAATACATTTTCCATAATTTTAAATCGTCAACTTCTTAAACTCATTTTTAGAAATTTAAATTCTTGACTTCGTAATTCAATTTTATAGATTTTTAAATTCTTGACATCTTGAGTTGATTTTTCTAAAATTTAAAATTTTTGACATGGTAAATTCTATTTACTAGAATTTTAAATGGTTAACTTTTAGATTTTCTAGAATTTCAAATGATTGACTTTTAGATTTTCTAGAATTTTAAATTCTTGACTTTTAGATTTTTTAGAATATTAAATTCTTGACTTTTAGATGCTTTTGAATTCAATTTATGACAATTTGGAATTGTTAACTTTTTAAATTTTTTTTTTTTAATTTTACATTGACATCCTTCTTGAATCTAATTTCTCGAACTTCAAATTGTTAATTTTTTAAATTCAATTTTCTAGAATTTTAAGTTCTTGACTTCTTAAATTCATTTTTCTAGAAATTTAAGTTCTCAACATCTTGAGTACAATTTCCTAGAATTTCAATTTGTCAACTTCTTGAAACCAAATATCTGAAATTTCGTGAGATTAATTTAAAATTTTAAATCAATTTTGGAATTTCCTCGTTCTAGGTTTATCGAACTGTTTCAGATTTTGCAGAATTTACAAGTTACCAGATATCCAATCCTTCAATTCTAAACTAATGATTTATTTTAAATTTTCTAAAATCCAAAAAAAAATTTTCTAACCTGTCAATCTATTTCCACTAGCTCTATGTCTATCGGAGCGTCCGCCTGTTAGCATTCAAATCATCGAAGATTTAAACTGGAAACTTTTCAAAGAAACTTTTTATCCGAACACATTAAGCTTTTCTTACATTAAATACACACACAAATATACACACACATATACATACATACATACATACATACAAATATATGTATATAAATGTATGTTTGTGTGTTTATTCGGATTGCATAATTCCAGCATCAGTCTAGCTAACCGGCTAATCGCTAACAATTTATTTCTTAGAGCTATCCGAATTTATCTCGAAAGCAAGATGTCAGACTTAGATCTTATACATACATATACATACGTACATACATACATACATATACATACATACATACATACATATATACATTAGGATGGTACTTAATATGGATATTTTCGAATTTTTTTGCTCCTCAGACAATTCTCTGAAAGTTTTAAGTCTTAATAATAACTTTAAGATAGTCCGCACTCCAACCACCAAAGTTTCTTGGTTCTTCTTCCTAAGTATATACTTATTTTATAAAACATATCAAATTTTTGGTTTAATTTTTTTATTTATGATCAAAGTAAGCAATTACAATGTTGTTCTCAAAATTTTGATTCACTTGTCGCTAAGTTATAAAATTCTGAAAAACAAATGGGATTTTACTCATGTTATTTCCATAAGAAACTTTGATTGGAGTGCGGACTATCTTAAAGTTAATATTAAAAGCTAAAATGTTCAGAGATTTTTTTTCAATCAATTTCGAACTATTTGAGCCCCTGGGAGCAAGGAGCAATTCGTAACAATCCATATTAAGGACCACTCTAATATACATACATAAATATAATATGGATCTCCAAAGAACAAAATTGAAGAAAAATCAATACTTGAGACGTTTGTCATTTTGGATTAAGTCTTCATCAGCGAATAATATTTTGGAAGAATGTATATATATATATATATATATATATATATATAATATATATATACAGATGTATATGTATATATACGTATATGTATATATATATATACAGAAGGAATAATATGTATTTATTCATAAGGATATAATACACTTGTCAAAAGTTGTTTCGAGCTGTCTCACTTTCTGACAGAAGT